AAACTGCTGCAGTGACAAAGGGCAGAGGTTTTCCTCTCTGCCCCCAGAGCAGCCTGCATACAGAATCCCTCATTTCTAGCCCTGCTTGAGAACAATGATTTAAAATGAAAAAAAAACCCACAAAAAACCATGATTTGCGTTAAGGACCCAAGCAATACCGGGTAAATTTTCTAGTACTTTCTAACAGGGAAACCTACAACCTAAGCTCCAGAGGGGATATTTAAGATCCACATAACATAGGATATATTTTTTGAGCAAAGTGCTCAAGTTGTGACAAAGTTATAAGACATCTGCCAGTGCAACACTTTCTAACTACTACTGCTATTACCTAATGTGCATTTTATATTGGTATTCAGGTTCCAAACTGGAATCACCTCATCCAACATCTAAAAACAGACATACATGTAGGATGAAACATGGCAGCTGCTTAATATCAAACAGCAATGGTACAGCACATGTTGGGAAGTGAAGAAGAATATCATGCCCACAAGAAACCACAGGAGGAATTGTATGTAGGCTAAATGCTCCAAATAGGAAGTCGGTCAAGACACTGCAGATGTTAACTCTCCCCCTCCGCAAAAGGGCATTCACTAGTAAGTGTCTCAATCTATGTGTTAACCATCTGATATACACACTTCCCCTCACAAGTGGTCTCATCTGTAAGATGAGGGACAAAACTGTCAAGAGTGACTGGTGATTTTGGATGTTCAACTCAAAAACACCTTAAAGAGGCCTGAGTTTCAGAAAATGTGGAGCACCAGTTCTCTCAAAAATAGGCCCCTACATAGGGTCTCAAAAGTTGGACAACCAGAAACAGAAGCACCTAAAATCACTTGTAACTCTTGAAGACCTTGACTTAGGATTTACAACATACTACTTCAATGTACAATTGTTTACTGTCACAACTGTCTAATTTGGATTTTCCTGCAAACAGTCAATTACTGCTCTAACAGACAGAGGCTGCTAGTGTCATTTCTGTGTATAATAATAATCAAGAACAGCACATGCATTATATTTGCATCAGTTTCCACAAAAGGACATGTAAAGATGCAAAGAAAAATAAATTGAATAATAAAAAAAAAAACTTAAGCAAAGCTCAGGATTGCCTGTGTCCTACTGCCTTGAAGAACTCAGATCCATTTCACATGCTGGTCACAAAAAGTGTCCTTTCCAGTACCAACTGTGCCATATGAAGATGCCATTATATAAACAACAACAGAAGAAAATCAGAGCAAATAAAAATCCTGGGAAAGCCTTTTGACTCTGTTTCTTATAAGGTTTCCAGTGAGATTTGGGCAGCACTCAATGGTATGACCAAAAATATTGTAGCTGGCAAATAAAATATCTTTTAAAATTAACTGTGTTTTAAAATTAGCATGTGAATGCTCACGTTATTATTATTTACTGATGCATACTTATTTATTTCACAGACAGTCAGACATAACAAGGGAGACTAGGGAAATGATTTAAAGCTACAGGTTTCCTAATCCCTTTTAAGCAGGTGTGTACAAAAAAATAATCCACTTTTTGGGTTATCATTTTAATAGGGGAAGGGTTTACAAAATGTAATCCATCCTTTTCACCATTATAACTTATTGAATTACAGTAAGTTAAACATTTTTATTACTCAGAAGTCAGGAACAGGGTATACTTGTACCACAACTTGCCATTGGTGCATTTTGGATTATATAACATTTCCAGTGTTTAAAATGCCAGCTCCCAATCCTCCAACCTCTTTTATAATTCTTTCTTTCACAATGAATATGAGCAGGCAAAGGAAACAGTGAGAGTCCCAGTAGGGGAAGTATAAAACAGTGGGTTTGTTTCTAGCTCTAAGAGTTCTGTATGAGAGACAAATCCAAATAAACTCAAGTGAGGGGGCAGAGAACTGCTGCTAAATTGCATTCACAATCCAGAATCTCCATCTGTCTCAATGGCAACAAGCCAAAGTCTTTTCAGGTTTTGTTTTTTAAATTGAAAACAGCTGGGGTATTATTGATGTAGGAACAGTTTTACTGGTCTGATTCTGACCAATACAAGTTTTGTTGTTTCTAAGAGAAATCCAGCTATTGTTATCTTCAAAATTGAAACTGAAATGATTGTTGGTTACTATTGAAACTGTCAAACTAAATTCCATCAATGTCATCAATTTACAAGATAATCATACATTAAAGAGTCATAAAAAGCTGCCCTTGAGAATGCAATAGCTATTTATAGCCTACAATAGACTTTTTACATAGAATAACCAGGCAGAAAATTTCTATAAAAATGAAATTTCAAAGATAAATTTTTTTAATGAAAATCTTCATGAAAAATTATTTCTATTTTCCAAGCAGCACTGCTACCCATCTTTTTATTGCTATTTCACTAGTCTCAACACTATTAATAAGTCCAAAATATGGGTACTTAGAGGTATTTAAACAGTTTTCCTAGAAAAGTGAAGTGTTATTTCACATATTATATACTAGGATGTGAATTAGTTTCCTTCTATAAATGAGAATATTTTAAGAAGTAAAATAATACTAAATTTCACTTATAGCCCTCCAGGGCCTTTGTAAACATGAGTAGTCATTTTTATCCCAACTTTAAGGATGGAGAAACTGAAGTAGAAAGAAAGTAGAGGTAGATCTAGGAATGGAAAATGAAAGGCCTGACTCCCAGTCCAATGTCCTCTCTATAGGTTCACAGTGCCCCTGTATAAAAACAGATTTTCTCTTCCGAATTCTTGCTCTCACACATACACCAGGTCCCATTTCAGGAAATAATCCCCATTCAGGACAGCACCTAACCAACATAAGTCTCATTTAGTTCAATGGACCTTAAATTTATGACAAAAATTCAGCCCAATTTTTGTGATAGCTCAATTACAGGTGGACTCAGGCATGTGCTTATGAACTTTCCTGAACTCAACTCCAGAAAACTGTCTAGCAAATTAGTCCAAGGAAAAGGTATTTCTAGCCTGATTAAGCTGTGAATGGTATCTAGTATATAGCTGAAGATGATTTACTGAATGCGGAATGCTATAAAGGAATGATTAAGGAGGAAAAAAAAAACCCATTAAACTGTGACCAAATCCTCCTCTAGTATAAACAGGAATGTAGTATGTTTTCACTGTAATGTACTTGCAGAGTATTAACAACAGTATGACTTGCGACACTAAGGCAGTACTCCCCAGACTTTTCAGGGAAACACCTGCCTTACTATTGTCCTCACAGGCGGCCAGTGAACCTAAGCAAACTAGGCAGTTGCCTAGGGTGCCGCCGGCCTGGGTGCCCGATGATTACGTCATGACTATTGGCGGCCGTGCAGGCGGGGGTGCCGATAGCGCCTTCCGCCTAGAGTGGCAGCTGCCGCAGTCAGCCTCAAGAAGCTCCTGATATTCTTCAACCCCCTCCCTCCAGGGATGGGAGTGGGGCTGTGACTCCTGGAAAGGGAGACACAGATTCCTGGGTTGTGAGGAGCTAAGATTGGGGCCACAGCTGAGGGTAGAGCAAAGCCAGGAGCAGGGCTGGGAGTGGGGTTGTAGCCAGGAGTCAGGTTGGGGTCCTGGGTGCAGATATACAGCTTGGCTGTGGTTGGAGGCCAGAAGCCAGGGCCGGGGCAGAGCTGGATCGGGGGAGGGACTGGATGGCACTCCCTCCATGTCCCCTATAGGGGCTGGCTGAGAGCATACCATACTCCCATTCCCAAACATTCCTTTGTGACCCCTAGGTAGGCACGCATCCAAGTTGGGGACTTCTTACTCATGGAAGTAACAGTCCTGATTCTTCATGCAGCTTGCTGAAGTTTTAATAAAATGCAGCTTTGTGTAATTTAAAGAAAAGGGGGGGGGGGAAGCTTTGAGGTTTCATAGCCTCCAAAGGTGTCAAAAAAAAATCAACAGAGCTCCATTATCTGAAAATATCTGGAAGAAAATAAGGTGATAGGTAACAGCCAGCATGGATTTGTAAAGAACAAATTGTTCCAAACCAATCTGATAGCTTTCTTTGATAGGATAACCAGTCTTGTGGATAAGGGAGAAGCAATGGACGTGACATACCTAGACTTTAGTAAGGCATTTAATATGGTCTTGCATGATCTTCTTATCAATAAACTAGGCAAATATAAATTAGATGGGGCTACTATAAGGTGGGTGCATAACTGTCTGGATAACTGTTCTCAGACAGTAGTACTTAATGGTTCACAATCATGCTGGAAGGGCATAACAAGTGGGGTTTCGCAGGTGTCTGTTCAATATCTTCATCAACAATTTAGGTATTGGCATAGAGAGTTATTAAGTTTGAAAATGATGCCAAGCTTGGAGGGGTTGCAAGTGCTTTGGAGGACAGGATCATAATTCAAAATGATTAACTGGAGAATGGTCTGAGGTAAATAGGATGAAGTTTAGTAAGGACAAATGCAAAGTGCTCCACTTAGGAAGGAACAATCATTTTCACACATACAGAATGGGAAGTGATTGTCTAAGAAGGAGTGCTGCAGAAAAAGATCTAAGGGTCATAGTAGATCACAAGTTAACTATGAGTCAACGGTGTGACACCGTTGCAAAAAAAAAAAACACATGATTCTGGGATGGATTAACAGGAGTGTTGAGCAAGACACGAGAAGTCATTCTTCTGCTCTACTCTGCACTGATTAGGCCTCAATTGGACTACTGTATCCAGTTCTCAGCACCACATTTCAAGAAAGATGTGGAGAAACTGGAGAGAATCCAGAGAAGAGCAACAAAAATGATTAAAAGTCTAGAAAACATGAGCTATGAGGCAAGGCTGAAGGAACTGGGCTTATTTACTTTGGAAAAGAGAAGCCTGAGAGGGGACATAACAGTGGTTTTCAGGTATCTAAAAGGGATGGAGGAGGGGGGAAATTGTTCTCATTGGCCTCTGATGATAGGACAAGCAGCAATGGGCTTACACTGAAGCAAGGGAGGTTTAGGTTGGACATTAGCAAAAACTTCCTAACTGTCAGGGTGGTTAAACACTGGAATAAATTGCCTAGGAAAGTTGTGGAATCTCCATCACTGGAGATCATAGAATCATAGGACTGGAAGAGAATCATAGGGCTGGTCGTCGAGTCCCAAAGCAGGACCAAACCCAACTAAATCATCCCAGCCAGGGATTTGTCAAGCTGAGACTTAAAAACCTCAAGGGATGGAGATTCCACCACCTCTACCTTACCTTTCTTCCCACAGTTCACACACACTTCAAAGACAATTATCTCCGTTCATAAAGAAAAATGATTACAAATTGGGATATAAACATGCTGCGAAAAGAATATATGCTGCAAGAAGGAAAGAAAATACCACCACCAACAAAATCTTCTGCCTTAAAGTGATCACAAAAATGCAAAATTGTCTGATTTTATATTGAACTGGATGTCTATAAGCTTTACATGACAGAGAGGCTGTGCAGCTCAGAATTAATGATTAAAATTGCTTCTAGCTCAACAACAGTATGGATGATAGAACTACTTGAGCATTCATTCTGTAGGTACTTTACACACCATTTCCATTCAGGAATATAGGAATCTATTCAGATACTTTTAAATTTTTTATTTAGGGTATTATTGAATTAGTCTGTACATTTGAATTACAAATGTTCTTTTTGGAACTGCACTCCCTTTAAGTATCTGAAACTGGGAGGGTAATAATTTCTTATATGGGCTTGCTCCAAGATTTTGATAAGTGGTCAAGGGCCATACTTTTCTATGAAGAGGATGCGGGGTCTGGGATGAAGGTTAGGTGCAGAGCTGAGGGCAAGGGACGGGTGCAGGAGGGGGTGTGGCATCTGAGAGGGAGTTTGGATGAAGAAGGGGATTGTGATCTGGGGCAGGGGCTAAGGGTGCAGGGTTGGGGAGGAAGTATGGGTGCAGGAGAGGAGTCTGGCCTGGGGAAGAGGTGTAGGATGGGGTGCAGGGTCAGGGAGGGAGTTGTAACCTGCGGGTTGGGGGTGCAGAGGGTTTGGGTGATGACCTGGGGCAGGAGGGGCAGGGAGGAAAAGGCTGGGGATGGGGTGCGAAAGGCAGGCTCTGTTCAGGAGGCACTTATCTAGGTGGCTTCTGGCCAGCAACCCTGCAGGACCCCGAGGCAGACTCCCTGCCTGCCTGAGTTTCCAGCCAATAGGAGCGGAGAGATTTGGCTGGTGGCAGTGTATGAAGTCTTTCCTTCTTTCCTCCTCTCCCCCTCACCATGGAACCTGGAGCAGAAAGCTACATGGAGCCGACAACTACTGAAAGTGGTGTGGGGCTGCTCTGTGCCTGAGGGTTCCAGTGGGGCAGCCTATGGGCCAGATCTGGTGGCTTGGCGGGCTGGATGTGACCCTCAGGCTGTATTTTGCCCACCCATTTTAGAAAATGCTGGCATTTAAAGTATTTGATGGTGAATAGTTAAAGGATTATGTAACTGCCAACAGGCGGGTTTGAACCTGGGACCTCTGAAGCAGAATATAGGAGCCTCTACCCTCTGAGCTAAAAGCCAGCTGGCTCCCAGCCCATACTGTAGAGATCTCTTGATCTTAACTGTTGCTGTGGTCTAGGTACCACTTGCATTGCTCAGTAACCACACGAGGGCTAGGTCTACACTGGCACAATCTTGTGCCAGAGCTATGCAAATGAGGCTAAGTGTGTCTACTTCTTGTGCAAGAAAAACCCTCTTGCACAATGCTGTTATGCTGATTATTTTCAGGAATAACGGCATTGCGCAAGAGGGTTTTTCTTGCGCAAGAAGGGGCAGTGTAGACAGCTCCTTCTTGCACAAGAGCCTCTTCCGCAAAATGGCGGCTCATTAGTTATGCAAATGAGGCTCAGCGATATTCCACACTTAGCCTCATTTGCATAGCTCTGGCGCAAGATCCCAGCATTGTAGACATAGCCGAGGTATGTAGGTTACAATTACACAACTAAAATAAGAATCAGTAGTCCCTGAAATTACTTACATTAACCCACGGATGTTCAAGAACTTGCAAGGCTGAGAATCGCTGATCTACATCTACCTGAAGCATCATGGTGATAAGTTCCTGGGAAATGGAAGATAAGATCCTATTTAGAACACATTTTTATAAAGAAAAACAAAAGATTTAATTCAGAAAAAATGATCAACTGACTGTAGTAAAGCACAATGTTCAATTAATGACAGGGTGGAAATATGCTAAGGTAATTTAAAAATAATATCAACTGCTGAACTTCTGAATGTGAATTTCTAAATCAATAGTTAAATAATACATTGAAAAGCTAGAAGTCTGTAAGTGCTGAGTCAATTTTGTAGTCCGTAGTTTTAGAGGAAAGAACTTCACACGTAATGTGCAAAAGAAGATGGGTGCATGAAATCAGGTTAGCTATCCATTTAAAAAATAGCCAATTTTCTGCAAAGCAGCAGCAGCAGATCTATCTAGAATTTGGCTCTCTCTGGGTCCTAATATCAATAGCAGAGTGAATATTTAAAAAAGAAATATTTCTAACTCTTAAAACCTTAGTTTTAAAGTGTCAAATTCTTCATTACTCTTTTCCCTCCCTTTCCTACCAGCATTTAATGCATTTTTTTCTCCTGACCATGAGTGCATAGAGAAGACAATAGTAATGGGATGCTAAATAAAGGGAAATCAGAAATGACAGACATCAATTATTCTCAACAAATAAATGGGAGCAGAACAGAAAGTAATGAACTTATACATCAAAATGGGAAAGTTTCAACCAAACTATTTGTAGTTAGGTAATGGAACAAGCTTGGTAAAGGAGCTGTGGAATTGTCATTAGATATTGAAAACCAGAACTGATGCTTAACAGATGAGTGATAAAATTAGGCATGATAAAATTAAGCTTGCTGCAATACAAAGGAAGGCATTAGAACAGAGGAAGGAATGCTGATGGAGGGGCAGGAGGCAAAGAGGGCAACTGGCTACCAGAAGCCACTGCTGCTACTGCAGCAGCAGCGATAGATGGAGTCCTGGGCCCTTTAAATCGCTGCCAGTGCTCTGATCTGGATGGCGGGTGGCATGGTGTTGGTGGCATGGAGAGCAGACTGCTCCAGCACTCTTCCGAGAATGCGGAGCTGGCCCTGCTTCCCTCCGTTGCCGAGGAGCCTGGCAAGTCTGTCAGCTCCCCTGAACAGAGGTTCGTAACCTTTTATTTACTGAGCCTTCTCCCCCACAACGTGCTATAAAAATTCCATGTCTCACACGTCCCACAATAACTGTTTTTCTGCACATACAAGCCAGGCTGAGTGTAAGAGGTTAGCAGCGCCACTGGCTAGGCCCCATGCCACATGAAGCCCCACAAAACTAAGCTCCTCAGATTTTGGCTTCAGCCCCAGACGGTGGGGACCCAGGCTTCAGCCCCATGTGGTGGAGCTTCAGCTATTTGCTCTGGGCCCCAGCTAGTCTATCTAATGCTGTCCCTGTTTGGCAGCCCCATGGAAAGCAGCATGCAGCTCTCAAGGGGACCCCAGACCCCTGTTGCAAACCATCGGATTGTAAGACTCCTACTAATACTTGATATTTCTTTCAGCTCCAAGAACTGTATCCGCTTTGTTAATTTTATTAGCTTGGAAACTAAAATTCCTCCCTCATCCCCTTATTATTTCCCAAAATAGGGGTATAAGGGAAACAAAAGTGTTTAATAGGGTCATTCCCAATCCTCACACTGCAGATGAAAACACTGTTTTGTGATAAATTAAATATTCATATAGAACGTACTTAAAAGGACAGTGTTGCAGATATTTATCCTATGATTATGTGTTGGCATTCCCCACACTTAAGGTAAGACAAGGAAAGTGACAGTGGGAAATCTATTCGATATATCAGGGAAGGGAATCTTTTTCCTAGCAGGGGTCACTGACCCGCAGAAAAAAAATCAGTCATGAGCCACACCCAGCCCCATAGGGCTGGGGACGGGGAGGGAGAGGGTCGGTGGCTCAGGAATTCCCTACGGTTGACAACTATCTTAAGTGAGATGGACCAGGCACCATTGCTGCAAATGGCATCCTGTCTATCTGGTTGGCAGCCCTATAATTGGGATAGGGTTTCAGACTGCAGGAGAGGCCTCCAGGCTAGGGCAGATGGTGCGTATGTGGGAAGGGTGTGAGGGCTCTGACTAGGGGGTGTGGACTCTGGAGTGGTGATTGGGATGAGGGTCCAGCAGGGGGCTCTGGACTGGGTCCAAGAGGTTTGGAGTGCAGGAGGGGGCTTGGGACAGGAGGGTGGGGTGGGCCCTGGATGAGAGTTAGGGTGCAGGAGCGGGCTCAGGGCTGGGCCAGAGGGGAGGGGAGCAGGCTTGGAGGGAATTTGGTGCAGGAGAAGGTCAGGGCTGGGGCAAGGGGTTGGAGTAGAGACTGGACAGGAGTTAGAGTATGGGAGGGGGCTGAGGCAGAGGGTCGGGGTGCAAGACAAGGTATGGGGCAGCTCCTGGATTTCTAAGCACCCAGAATGTCCCTGAGGCCCATTGGGAAGTGGGAGGGCAGGTGACTCTCCACTCTGAACTTGCCTACAGACAATGCCCCCACAGCTCCCATTGCCCACAGTTCCCAGCCAACAGGAGCTGTGGGGATGGTGCCTTCACCTCCTACTCTAGCGTACCAAAGAGACTGCTCCAGAAAATTTGACCTCCAGGACCAAACTCAACCTTGCTGTGTGTGTTTTATTGTGTCGGGGACTAATCCTGAAAGATACTCTGTGCCCACAGCTCTTTCAGAATCAAGCTTTTCCTTAGTACTTGCAAATTGCTTAAAAAAAAAAAAAAGAGGACTAAAAAAATGAACTGCTTGTTAATGGATTGACAAAACAAGTCAGAGTCCCATATACAGGCAACATTAAGGAGTTACAAGCAAAGTACAGCTTGGTTTGTTTGACAGAACTATCAGGACAATTCTTTCATGTGATTAATCATGGAACATGTTTTCCTCAGAGCATTATTTATGTTTAACAATACAATTACACTTGGAGATTCCAACTGGAATCCATCTGCCATTGTGCTAGTCACTGTTCAAACCCACAGAAAGTAAAACAGTTGCTACCCCAAGGAGCTCTCAATCTAAGATGTGCATATTTTTTGATCCAAGTTACTGGAAGTTTTAATTGTTCAACAGGTGATGACAGGAGGCCTAAAACTAGAGTTGGGCAAAAATTTTCTGAGAAATAGTTTCAGTGAACCAGACATTGCATTTTAAGAGAATAAACTATCTATGAATTCATACTGAATTTGGCAAATAGATTTCTCCCTCCCCCATAAAGGGAAATACTTTGAACATGTTTGTAAATGTTTGTTTTACATTTTAGCTAGATTTCATTACTTAAAAGTAAAAACACCCAACAACAAAATGAAATGTTTCATTTGAACCAAAAAACTTTTCCACTTTGGGTGGATCCAGGACAAAATTATATTTTGATTTAGCCATCCAACTGAAAAATCATGTATTCATTCAGCTCTACTGAATATATATACACACACACACAAAACAAATACTAACAAAGTGCTGCCCAAAACAGCTTACAGACGAGAATCAGATAATACTACAGTAGTGACACAGAGGAAGTTGCACATGTCCCTCAAGGGAAAATCTAGACCTAAAGCTTCTCAAGTACAGGGAGACAAGAGAAAAGTAGTTTTACAATCTCTTTGCACGCACACTGATTATACCGAGCATCTTTGCTAAATCAGAAGAAAACCAACTTTGTAAATCTACCTTTGCAGAATCCGAAACATTATCCCAGTATGGAGATGGGAAATCCACCTGGCCCATCAATATCTGGTCAAACAGCACTTCCTGGTCATCTCCACATCTGTGAAGCAAACAAAATCAAAACAAACATCATTTCCAGAAGTAGTTTTATATAAACTTTAGAAAAGCAAGTAAAATTCTTTTAACTGCAGTTTACTCAGTCTGCCTTTTGGGGCCAGGTCCTGTCCCCATGCCGCATAGCTACAGCTGTGGACACAAGGGGCACTTAAGATGGAACACAATTACTTTTTAAAGAGAGAAGACAGGGAAAGAAGTCAACTTCTAGGACAACCTTCTGTTGGCTCTCCCCACCTTTGGAATATAGTTCCCTTTTTATTTCTGAGCTTGCCTATCTTTAAGGCAAAACCCAGCCCTTCTTTGCTTTAATGACGAGCAGAGATTTGTGAGGGGAGACTTAAAAAATTTGCTTACAGGCTTAAATCTCTGTTGGAACATTTACATTTTGTTCACATGTTCCTGTTTCCAGCTTACTGTGTTTAGGGAGCAAATGAGGAAATCTGCTGATTTCATGATGTATTTTTAAATGGTAGCCAAGGGCACCCAGAGCTGGCCATGGGTGCATGTGTTTTAGAAGGTAGAGTATAAATAAAATGCTAAGAGCTTGGAGTTTTTACAATAACACAATCGGGATTTGTGTAGTTTGTATAAATTGAGAGGCAGAGCATGAAAAAAAAACCAACAACCCAGCATTACAAGCAAAGATGTTTTTCCCCAGCAGATCTCTTAGTGCAGGACAGGCACATGGACCATTCACAGCAGAAAGGTGCACTGCTAACAGTTGAATAAGACCGTACCCACGGAACGGAGGAAAGCCACACAGCAGAATGTAAGTAATCACACCAGCTGCCCAGATGTCCACCTTCAAGCCGTATCTAAAAATATTAGAGGTATTATGATTAGAGACACCAATCCTGTAAGAACTACAGTACACAACTGAAAGAAAATGATGTCAATGCACACATTTTTATTAAATGAACTGATTTTTTTTCCTATATTGTGCAACAATTTCTATCAAATCCAAGGCAGGTGTTTACAGTTTAAAACTACAGTGGACGTCTGAACACAGATGATAAAAGTGTACCGATTTCTTGGATGCTCTTTTGAACTGTACTGACAGGAAGCCTGCAAGGTACCATTGGTCATTTGCCCAGGGAATGTTTACTCTACACACTATATCGGGGGGGTGGGAAAAATCAAGCCTGCCAAGCATTTCTCTCTGGTCCGCCCAGCTGTTTAGCATAGGATGCATACTTACAGCCGACAGCCCGTGTTCAGCTGCCCTTCCCCTACCTGAGATGTCCCCGGATTCTTCTGCTAGCTGTGCAGAGTTGGGGAGGGAGGGGAGGGTGAAGGGAAAAGTTGAAGTCAGGGTGTTCTCCTGTCCCTGTACCCCATCTCTGTATTGCAGGGATTTAGGAGAGGGAGACACACAGTGGAGCTGATCCTGTCTGACACATGTAAGTGACTCAGAGGAGTTTCTGTCTTAAGAGGTCTCTCTCTCTCTCTCTCTCTCTCTCTCTCACACACACACACACACACACTCACCTCACCATGCCCCATCTCTGTAGAGTAGTGGGAAGGGGAGAGGGAAAGACAACAGACAGCTTTCCGTCTTAAAGAGATAGAGTGTGGCTTCTCTCAGAAACTTACCTAGCACATACAGTTTGTGTCATTGTAACACACAATCTGGGCCACACTGTGTCACGAACAGACAGAGTCACCATCTCATACATATACACTGCCTCACACTCTTCCCCCATCTGTGCTCCACACACACTCAATCTGTATCAGAAAATCTCAGTGTCTCTCACTCTCTTTCTCTCTCTCTGTAAAGCGCAGTCCCACCCCTTCCGGGGGCCCAAGAGCTGGCCTGTGATCCATGTACCAAAATTCATTAAGTGTCCCCCTGCGAAAATTATTGCCCACCCCTTCCTCAGTGCTGACTTTCTACTTTAAAGTTAAGAACTGCCATTCTACCCCCGCCTCCCCATAAAAGGTAGGGAGAAGCCTAAATTAAGAGAGTTGTAACTGATATAGTGGTGAGAACATGTTCCACCTTGCACACTTAATGAAACTTTACTGCAAATAGTTTACCCAGCTTCTGCAATGATTTCTGGAGCTACATATGTAGGGGTGCCACAGACTGTGTAAAGAGGTCCATCCACTATTGTTGCCAGCCCAAAGTCTCCCAGTTTCAGAGACTTGCTCCCATCTTGGTGTTCATAAACCTAAATGAGAAATAAAATCCAAAGGATCAGCAAGGTTCTATGTAAATGGATGCACAAACAATTTGCTAACTTCCTGAAATACTCTTTGCAGTTGAATCTGCCTTTGGATTCTTCCCTTCCCAAAATACTGACAATGCCATTTAAAAAAAAATCACCGTGATTAAGAGGGTTTGATTCATATATGGCTTCTATCCTAAGAGAATCAACATACCCAGGTAATTGGCTAAATATTCCGGGTACCCCTTTATTGGCTGATTATCAAAGATCACAAAGATCTTTCTCTTGTTAAAAACTAAAAGTATAGTGGCATAGTAGAGGCCAGTGCTTTTGATTTGAAGTTCATAGGTTAAATCCCCACTGACAATCATGGTATCTTATTAAAATTAATACACAAAATAAAGGCTTGTAGAAGGATTTAAACTTCTGAGCTAAAGAAGTAACTCCATTAGTTGGAAGCAGTTGTAGGCTTTTATTCTCCAAATGGATGAGCCAATAGAGAGATAGCAACACATTCAGATATCATGTTATGTGAGTAAGCACTTAGGCTCACTTTTGAGAGCTTGCAAAACACTAACACTAACACTGGAATTATTAAAAATACTCAGTGTTGGTGTAACTCTTCTTCCATTGAAATGAATGGTATAATCTCACAATGGAAGCAGAATTAGGTCAATACTGAGGGCCACTGAAAATCCTGAATCATGATCTCTTGAGCAGTGAAATGCTACTAATAATTTATTTTAATTTTCCTTTTAATTAGTGCAAGATGAGACTTTGTTTCAGAAGCAGTCAGTACAGATAGATAACAGCTACAATACAAACATCCCAATTTCTACTGCTTCCCCAACGCATAAACACTGACTGGTAATGAAATAACAAAACAAATATTCAAACTAAAATAATTACATTTAATAATATAAAATGTTAACCAGCAAATCATATCTTAAGGCAGTAGTTGGTGGGGGTACTGTCTTCCAATTTTTACATAGTGGTGAAAATTAGTGCAGTTCACTCTGACAACATTTTAAAATATGTTCAGTCTGCTTGCGGAATCTAATGTATACCACCCTCTTGAACAGACAGAGCCATGACAAAAGTCTCATTGAATTACAAATTCCTGTGAAACCAACTTCTGAGATTTCCTTAAGAAATGGGAAGTAAAACTCTTCATCTGCTCACTTAGTGCAAATCTTTCTCTAGAAAATCCCTTCCACATCAACTGAAACTTTTGCTAGGGATCCAACAAACCCAGTGGTCACTAGCCATCCTTTGAAGATAATTTTTTTCCTCCTTTGTTGTACAGAAAGATCAAGAAATCTTCTCGCCATTCTTCTGTATTGTAGGCTACACAGCATATTACATCATGGTTTCTATATTAGGAGGTGAGAATCAGTATTCACAGAAATCTCCTCTTTCTCTAATTGTTTTTAATAAGTACATGGAACTGGATCTTGTCATATGAGAGGACCAACAATCTGAGATGGATTCACACATCTCTGTTTCTCAGTCCACAAAAGATGGGTGTGAAGGACATTAAAAATGTAATTTCAGCTTTATTTAAAACACAGATTCTTAACTACATCTGGTCCCTGAAATGAAATGTTTGCTGAAATTGGAGTAATAAATCTAATTTCAACCAACATTTTAATTAAAAACTAGCAATGAGAAACTTTAATCAAACACCCGGTGGAAAATATAAAGAAGTGGTTTAAAGGTCTGCAGCTGAAGCCATTGTAATTAGTATTCATCCATAATGCAATTGCCTTTTATTATGGAAAATACTTTCAGCAAGTTTGAAAACAACAAGCAGTCCTGTGGCACCTCAGAGACTAACAAAAACATATAGAATTGTGAGCTTTTGTGGGTAAAACTCACTTTCATATATGAATTGGTTAACCTAGTGCATGTTCACAGATTCATTTCCCTATTCACACTGGTGATGTGAATGAATCTCATAATCTGAGCAACTGATTACAGAAAAGGCCTCTTAAGTAATTGAATCCATTCCTTTGCCAGTGAGGAATTGTGCAGTAGGGTATATTTTCTAGGCTTCTGTCCAGTCTTTTTCTGGGGACGAGGCTTCGACTGTTTCCTTAAGAGACTATTTCAGTTAATTTTCTAGTAGTGCTAGAACAGAATAGCTTGTCCCCACCCTGTTATAACTCTATGTAGAGCATTATATAAAAGTGCTCCTGATGAGAAGCAGTGGTATGTTAATTGCCAGTCAAGGCACAAGGAATGTGAATGATAATTTAATGCTCATCTCATTCAGAACAAACACTATCCATGTTCTATTGCATTTAAGTATCGAAGGGCAATTAGAGAGATGGGGATTAGTGCAAATTACCCACTATGAAGTGCCTACACTGTTTTAACTAAGCAATAAAACTGGGTAATTGTACAACACTAATTGAATTCAGAAACACATAATTGTGCGCCACCATATGTATCCTATTATTATAAAGATTGCCAGTATTTTCTAAGCGGCTCTTGTGATCACTGCAGATGGCAACAGTCGAAGAAGTTGTTCTCTAGGGTTTATTATATAGCTATCAAGACATATCCTGATTTCACAAAATAAATGTGCTAAATAGCAGCAATTATGAAAAATGTTCCAATTAAAACATGGAAGGTGTGTGCTCCAGAGAACAGAGCAAGTTGATGCATGGGTACCACATTATAGACTTTAAGCACATTCAAAACTCATGTAGAGTTCTCCAACATGGACTTTGTTAAGGATAATAAACATAACAATAGTTACCATTTGTACAGACATTACCAACTTCAATGTATTTTTAAAATGTTAAGAAACTAATCCTAATCATACACATGACACATACATACAATCCTATTTTTCAGATCAGTTCATTGAGGCGGAAAGGGCAAGACATTCCTAAGGCCACAGAGAGTCCTTGGCAGAGACAGAATTGGAATTCAGAAACTTTTAGCTCTAAGCAGTGAGCTAAAAAAATCACCATCACCAACTCTATCAAAGCCTGGATGAATTTTAGACCAGTAATATAGTTGATGAAACAAATGTTAACTTTCTAACCGAGTAAGGTCACCTGATGCCATAGCAACCTATTATGTCTCAACATGTTTAGACATGCTTTTGACACAGTCCCAAATGGTATTTTCATAAGTAAACTAAGAAAATGTGGCCTAAATGAAATGACTGTAAGATGGGTGCAAAGCTTCTTTGAAAACCCCTAATCAGAGTAGTTATCAATAGTCTGCTATTAAACTGGAAGGGTGTATTTAGTTGGGTCCTACAGGGTTGGGTCCTGGGTGCTGGTACTAGTTAACATTTTCCTTATTGACTTGGATAATGGAGTGAAGATTAGGTTTGTAAACTGTATGGATGATAGCAAACCAAGAGAGGATCCATGTTCATAGTGACCATGAAAACTGGAGCATCAGTCAGAAATCAACAGGATGAAATTCAATAAAACCAAGAGCAAAGTACTTCACTTAAAAAGGAAAAATTACATGCACCACTACAAAATGGGGAATAAGAGGCTTGGTGGTATTACAGCTGAAAAGGATCTGAGGGTTATAATGGGTCACAAATTGAATATGAGCCAGACCTAGAGGAAAGTTTAAATAATCTTAAGAAAAGAAGGTTCTGGGTGGGTAACTGACATCAGTCTTCAAACGTGTTAAGGACAGTTTTAAACAGGATGGGCGATCAATTGTTCGCCATGTCAACTGAAGGAAGGACAGGAGATAATGGGCTTAATCTACAACATGAGAGATTTAGGTTAGAGATTAGGAAAAACATTCTAACTAGAAGGATAAGTGAATTCTAAATTAGGGATCCAAGGGCAGATATGGAATCCCCACCACTGGAAGATGTTAAGTACAGACTGGACAAACATCAGACAGGGATGGTTTATGACTCAGTGCGAGGGGCTGGACTAGATGACCTACTATTCTATGTTTTGTGAAAGATGGGCAGTTACATGTGGTGACAACACATCTGGTGTCAATATGTACCAACAATCTGGAGACCTGACTTCATTTATACTAATACCTTTTTACATTCCCAGAACAAATTAAAAGGGCCCTAGTATAAATGATGCTTTATATTTCTCACATGAGTGCTGCCTAATTCATCCTACCAGTGAGAACACACACTGTCTATGCTGCACTATATACCTGATAAGTTCTATGGAAATGCCCCCTACCCTTCTGTAGCTCTTTTTCTTTTAAATCAGTGCAGTTATAATAATTTTAACATGCAAATGCTTGCTTTGAAAGTTAGGGTCCTTGTGAAAAGTTTAATGCCTTCTAGCCATTTCTGAGTATCAACAGCAGCATATGACCTTTGTAGTCTCTGCACTGGAAAATATACTCTGGAACAATTTGAATAAAATGAACAACAACATGATTACTCATGAGAGCCCAATCGGTATTACCAAGAAGAGGGTGAATGGGGGGAGGGGAAAGAAAGAAAGAAAAAATGCTCCAGGCTACTCCTGTCAAACTTTAGGAATTTAAGACGTCTGAATACAACAGTATGGTGAGTCTTTTGCCATGAAACCTTCCCACACATTCCAAGTCACAGCATTAATGAATCCTGACATGTGATTGCTAGAACTTATGCATGCAGCCATCTATGAACACTAGCAATAAGACTGATATGGGGTGTACATGTTCACATATAATGAGAGCCCTGGCTTACATAGTTTTAGCATTTTATGAAAAAGTAGGCCAACAACAGCTAGCACTACACAGACACCAGGCACTGTGGAGCTCTGAATTGTACAAATCCAATGCTCGGCAAATGTACTACAATTTACTTTAACCATCCCAGAACAATTTTCCAATGCCAAACAATATTTAGCACAGAAGATGGTATACAGTGCACAGCTGAGAACTTATGTTCTTTACAATTTAAACTATGGTATTGTTGTAAAAAAATTCTCAGCAAGTTAAAATAAATTCAGAGAACAAACGCAAAAATGATTAAGGGATTGGAGAAATGAATTTTCTGGTTAAGAGTGAACTAAAGATGAGAGTGGATACAAAAAAAGGTCAACAAATATGTAGACTCCAAGCAGAAAAAGGATTTAGTTAGCGTGTTTTTTCAGTAACTAAAATGGGAATTAGATTGGGCTCCCAGAAGAAAATCCATGACATTAAATTAGAAAAAGGAAGATTTAGGCTGTCTGACAAGGAAAGTGTTCTACAAGAAAGACCTACTAGACCATTTCATGAGACAGGATTTCAGGTTCCTATTCCTGGATTTGCTATTGACATACTATAGGATTTTGGGCAAATCATTTCATTTTAGCTTGTATGTCTGTAAAATCAAAATACTATTTATCTCTTTCTGTAGGGGGGCCCTGGGTAGCTTGGTACTATGTAAAGGTGTACAATATTATTCCAAGGGAAGTGCCTAACACCCTATTACATGAAATATTCACAAACAGATTGAGAACACACTCAAAAATTCACTGGAATTATCCTGTATAGTGGTGTCCTAGGACCAAAACTACCTAAAGACATAGACTGTTTAACTTCTAAGAGCCTGACTCATCTATATATTTTGAGACTGCTGTTTGGTTTTAAAGACAGTTTGATGATGAACAGATTAGCATGTGAGAAAAAGAAAGTTAAAAAGCTAACAACAGACTATTTAATTGACAGCACAGGTAAACTTTTCCCAATTCAGCAGTAACAATACAGTAAATAAAGTCTTCACTTACCAGTAGATTTTCAGGTTTGATATCCCTGTGAACAATGTTCAAGCTATGAAGGTATTTGATGGCACTGGCCAGATTGTACAGCATTCCACTAGCATCCCGCTCTGTGTATTTGTTAGTGGAGGTAATGGCATCAAAGAGATCTCCTCCCTGGAACAGAATAACCATGGTGCATTAACAACTTCCTGTTGTACAGCTATAGCCCTGCTTAATAATCTTCTTGGAAAGAGAAAAGCAGCATTATGGCACATGGTGAGGGCCCCACAGAGGTCCTTCTTACCTACAAAGGCCTTCTGTTGTGGTGAAAGAAGGCTGGGCATACCTCCCCCATTCAGACTTTTTTAATAATGGAGATTGCCTATCTCCTAGAACTGGAAGGGACCTTGAAAGGTCACCAAGTCCAGTCCCCTGCCTTCACAGCAAGACCAAGTACTATCCCTAATGAATTTTTTTGCCCCAAATCCCTAAAGGGCCTCTACAAGGATTGAACTCACAATCCTGGGTTTAGCAGGCCAATGCTCAAACCACTGAGCTACCCCTCCTCCTTGGTTAACACTGCTCTGTGTGTCAGCTACTGAATCTGAAAGTAGTAGCTAAGAAAAATATGAAGCAATCCATTCCTCTCCTATAGCCAAGCGTGCTACTTCTGCAACATTTCCAGCACGGCCAACCTGTTTCTTTAGCACAAATTTGCAGAAAACCAGCGTATTCACCTGGGTACCAATCCTTGCTACCATGTATTATAATTACAAACATCTACATTCAAAACATGATCAAGAATCTCAGTTAAATGCAAAATGATATGTATATTTATAATTAAAGATAAAATTATTTCCCCAAACATCTCTCTCTACTCAGCATATATACCAACGCATTAAAGGTATCTGCTTTCCCCTCTCAGAAACCTTTGAAAACATTAATTTCCAAGATCTCTCCCCCTTGCAGAATGTTTCAAATCTTCTAGTTTTCTACTTCCTGATGTTAATATTGGAGTCCTCCAACAGCAAATATGATATTTTATTATTCTGTAAGGCATAAAGCGATTTAACATGGTTAACAATCTATGTTACTTCCTGGTTATCAATAAATGTATTTTATCTCTACTGCAATCACCCATGCCGTTCTGTGTACCTTCCTACATCATAACACGACAAGGTGCCAAAGCTGGCTGGATGCCACCTCCAAAGTGGGGAAAACAAAAGAAAAGGAATGAAGAAAGAGAAAGTAAGTAAAACTCCTCTGAAGTGAGGAGAGGGTTTATTTTATCCATTTCCAAGGTCTGGGGCAGCTATTGAATCAGACCATGTTACCAGCCGTGAGCTGAAAGAGAAAAAAATCTTCAAGTGACTCAGAAGCATCAGGAGAAAGTGAAGAGCGAAAGGAAAAAAGCAGGTAGAGTCAGAAAAATAAAAGGGTGCTATGAGGAAGAACTGGACTACAGGCCAAAAGCACAGCAGCTCCATCAAAGAAATCCAGTCCCATGAAGAAAGAAAAGGAGGGGACCGAGGATGCAAAAAGAGTAAGAAAAATCAAGCTGCCTAGCAGGGACAGCAACAGCAAAAAAGAACAAATAAATAAAAAAAACCAGAGTTTTCTTAAAGGAACAGAAGTTATTTTTTCAGGGCAATGGAGAAAATATTTCTTACAATCCCAGCACTGCCAACTTTCATGATTTTATCATAAGTTTAATTCAATTAGATATTTTCCTAAAATACAGGCCCCAAAACATACAAATCCCAGTTTTCATTGGGGAAAACAAAAAATTAAAAAAAATCTGTTTGTGGCCTTTGTGATTACGGAGAAAAACTAGAAAACATGTCTGCTAAAGACTCAAAAAGTAGAAGAAAAATAGAGACCCAAAATAATTGAAAGAATGATTGTTTGGCCAAGCTGATGGTCATTAGCATAGAACTCAACATTTTTGTACTGTTGTGTTTGCTATTAGTGTAATTCCTAGAGAAAGCATTAATTTAATTTATTATAATCAGTACAGCCAAAATTGAGAAGTTGTGTTGAGTAGTTTCATGATGCATCAGGATTTGTCAATTACATCAATAAATATGGAGGAAGAAACACAGGACATAGTGAAGCTAAGTCAAGATAAAAAGAACAGTATATGAAACAATGAAAAATCTGTGTGACATATATGTAATTTGAGTAACTACCACGAAGCAAGCTAGAGAAACAGAAGGATGCAAACTGCAATAAAATGAGGTTCAATGAAAAAAAGTACAAAGAAAAAAAAGCAGAAAACATGAACAATTTCAAAATAATAAAAAAGAAAGAAAGAAAAACTGGAAGGCAGGTGGGTATAAAATGTGTCTATTTCAGAAAAATGAGCCTGTTCAGCATTGTGAAGATCTCCAAAGTAGAAGTGGATGATGTGCAGTGGAGAAGAACAAGAGAAAGAGAAGAGATTGACCAATGAACATAGCTATACAGCCAGTGTCAGACTGTGGGCAAGATGAAGACAAATTTTCAGCACCTTTGTCACCAGTCCAGAAAAAAGCATCTTCCTGAAAATTATAAAAGCTCAGCAGTGGATTCAGCAGCAAATTTAATAAAATCTGCAAGCTGCAAAGATAAGAGAACTTGTGGTAAATTAAAGCACAGTTAGCTCATTCCAGAATGCAAATTAGAGTTGTGCAGCACAAATTTATTTTCACTTTCGGTTTTAAAAGTCAAATTCACAAGAAAGTTTGAGAGAATACAGGAGAATTCTGTATAGTTTAGATTTGTCAATGACTATTTGGTGACACTGATCAAGCCTCTTGGAATCAACCCACAGAGGAATCCTGAGTTAGAGACTTTGAATTTTAACCTGGTTCTCCAACTTCCATTAAGTAGAAGATGGAGTAGAAGAGGGCCAACCTTAAACTCAAAAAAGATTAAGGGAAAAGACTGGTTCCTTCAAAATTTAGAAGAGATATTAAATCTGAAGTGTCATGGTTTAAGCCAATCTCTAACTATTGGAGATCAGGATGAGACCTAATGTAAGGGCAATTTAGCTCACATCTACTTATTGTGGGATTCTTGTACCTTTCTGTGAAGCATCCAGAGCTAGTCTTTATCAGAGGCAGAATACTGAATGAGATGAACCTCTGGGCTGATCCAGCATGGCAATCCCTTTGTTTTTATATTTGTGTTCCTAAACCTCCAACTATAACATCAATTATATCAGCCAAGGATCTAGCCCAAAGAGGTGGGGGAAAAGATCAAGCCTCAGATATAAGGGAAGAAAAGAAAAGATAAGTCTAAAGCCAAGGACTAAAGCTAAAGGAAAAGGAAAAGGAAAAGGAAAAGGAAAAGGAAAAGGAAAAGGAAAAGGAAAAGGAGGGAGCAGACAAGGGTAAGAGAGCTGGGTTTCTGCAGCCCCTCCAGTAAAAGTGTTCCTACTCCATTGCTTATTGATGTTAAGTGTTTCTGAAGTTAAGAGAGGAGAGAGATGTGCTGGAAGGGACTTAAAGAATTAATATGTTTGATAATTATTTTTTGTGTGTCATCTTTGAAGCACAAGTATTTTATAACTTGCCAAGCTATGCTTAGCTTATTCATACATCAGGACAACGCACCCCCACCCCCATTACCTAGACACTAGACATTGGGTGAGAGGAAGGGGGGTAAGGATGCAATTTCAATCCTTATCTCTTGATTCTCTGATTTTTTGGAATGAAGTCAGATAAGCAACACCAGAATGGAGTTTTTATCATCTGCACATAAGGCAGTAAGTTTGTAAGTAGAGTAACTAATTATTTATTACCTTGTTATGTACATTACATAATCTCTTTTCTGCTGTGAAATCATATCCCTGAGCAGTAAAGGAAACTCAACAATAAATCTTGCTTGTTAAATTGACTAACCCATTAGATTTAAATAATAATTTTGTTTTGTTGTGTAGAAAAGAAAAGTGGCAGAGATCAGGTCCTTTTATAAGCATTGCTATCAGTGTGTTTATATTGGTGTTTCTGAAGTGTTTTTTCTTACACTTCAAGCTCTTAAAAAAAAAAACCCAGTGAACAATATGCCTACCAAGAAATGAAGGCAATATTTGCAGCTGCGACTTTTGTCAAACACGTTAGTGCCAATTAATGCAGGGTGATACTAATTGTAACCATGCGCTACCACATGCCTTTTTTTCTTGAATTTCTTTTGTCTATGTGAACTTGATTTAAACTCGGGATTTCAAAAGCTAGTCAATAACAGATGGTTAATCAATTCCAACACCCTGTGCTGTACAAGGGAAATGGCAATTGTTGAATTAAAAATATCTTTCCACAAACACTTTCCTTGGTATCTGCAGGCACATTGTAATATAGTTTTTACAATAAAATATTAACAAACAGAACAAAAGGAAAAACTATGTAACACTTTAAAGACTAACAAGATGGTTTAATAGGTGATGAGCTTTCATGGGCCAGACCCACTTCCCCAGATCATATTCTGGAAGAGAATTGGCATGACCCCATATAGCAATATATGTGACCATATATACCAATTCATGCCAATTCTCTTCCAGAATATGATCTGAGGAAGTGGGTGTGGCCCATGAAAGCTCATCACCTGTTAAACCATCTTGTTAGTCTTTAAAGTGTTACATAGTTTTTCCTTTTGTTTTAGCAAGATCAGACTAACACGGCTACCTCTCTATTACTATTCAACAAATAGAACAGACATTCTGAGAAATAGTAATATCTGATTAGGACCAATCTCCTCTTATTTCCCACCTCATGTACAGTAAAAAACCATTAAGTCAATATGCTCATATAAATTCAGATTTATTTCTGTGTGTGAAAAGCCTGAACGTTATCATAACTAAGAAAAAACAAACCATCGGATTAAACTTCATGGCATCTGCAGAAATTCTTAAGGTAAAAAGACAGAGTGAGAGCACACAAGCACATATGTGGGTGTGGAACAGAAAAAGTGTGGGAAAAATAGAAGATAGATTTTCCTATGGAATCATTAAAATAGCTCTTCTCTTTATAACCCTACTTCAGGACATTCCCCTTTGAGAGAGCTTGCAGTCTCCTTTTGTTTAGCTGAGCGAGAACTGGACTATTAGCTGAGCGAGAACTGTCAGGCTGGTCAAATATTGGAATAAATTGCCAAGGGAGGTGGTGGAATCTCCCTCTCTGGAGATATTTAAGAACAGGTTAGATAGACATCTGTCAGGGATGGTGTAGACGGAGCTTGGTCCTGCCTTGAGGGCGGGGGGCTGGACTCGATGACCTCTTGAGGTCCCTTCCAGTCCTATGATTCTATGATTACTTAAAACCAAGCAAACACCATATTGCATGTCAAATTTTCAAACATGGATGGCTAAGTGAGTTGATCCTGCAAAACTTGCCTGTGTGTTAAGTGATTGCTCAACACTAAGGTGAGGTGGGGGAAGGTGCAGGGTCTGCATAGGAAACTGAGTGGAGAGGAGTAGACATTTAAACCTAAAATGGCCCAGTGTTTGGAACTTGAGCAGCCCTATCACACAGTGCATCTCTGATTGTTTTACAACGTGGCTGCCTTGATCCCCAGAATCCCAGCACCTGATGGGGGACCAAAGAATGGTTTTAACACCAAAAAAAGACAACAGAGGAGGGGAACTAAGAGGTGGCAGAAGTCATTATGCATCCAGAGATCAGGTAAAAGGAGGGGCACAACTTGGACAGTGGTTGAAGACCTCGTTTCTTTTTGTGAGACAATTCAATTTTCCATAGGTTACATTAATGGTATAATGCAGAGATAAGTCTGTCCAAACAGGATCCTATTTAATGCATGAAGATGAGGAGAGAGTATAGTCTTCTAATTCTGGTTTGGTTGGGAAGCAGTGGTATTCTTTCCACATGGTAGAACTTTTAAGAGTTTAAAGGCCAGTTTTTAACACCATGGTGAAGGTTTTACACTCAACGGGTTTTTGTACAGATAGTGCTGGCACAAATTAATATCTATGCTTGCAAACTGGATCCTAACCATTTAAACCAGTGGATTTCAAATCATGATCTGCAAGGCCACCAAAACATTGCTGGAATAATGGTAGGAATGATTTATTGAGAATGGAACTGATTAATAAAAGGATAGCTCTCTTCTGCAAAGTATTCTTCCAATTGAAATATTTGGAGAACCGTTGTTTTTATAAGAAAACTTGAAGTGCATATCTGGTCTGTAAAGTCACTATGGAAAATAGCATTTTCTTACTGAAGAGCTCAATGCCCTGTGTTTCTTCAGAATTCTCTAAATTTACTGATACATATATTTTTATCATCTTTCAAATGCAGTGAGCTGGTTTGTATTTTGACTTGTGTATCATTAACAGAACAGTTAGCTACATTCAGATTTAGACTCCTTATTGCCAATTATACATGGGCCAGAAAGTACCTGGCTTGACTAGTATATTCCATGCTGAGTTTTCAGTTCTGGCAATTAGGGGAAGAAAATCTGCTCTTGTAAAGTGAACACATTCAATATGGAATTAACTACGAGGCAATAAATTCAGAACCAACTACATAATGCTGTTTTACAAAGTCGTTTTTCAGGATATAAACACACTTTAAAGAGTAATGGATTTTTTTAAAATCTCAATTTCAATTAAAAGAGAGAACTTAACAAAGGGTCCCTAAACTTAATGGATATAGATAACACCGGTAATGTATTTAAAATCCAAAACCACCCTACTTTGTTTCATGAAAAGATGTTTTTACAAATGCTCTAACTGGGTGTCTTTGTTTTATCTATTGGCTTAATTTGGGTCCAAATCCTTTTTGTAACAAACTAGATTGTGGGTCCCCAAAGTATTTTCCACAGTGCACTTGCTGGTGTGTTCCACAAAAATCTATTAGGTCCCATAGAGCTGGAAATGAGCAGAGCCTGCAGCCAAACTGTGTTAAAGGGAGCTAAAATTCAGTTGTTTTTGTGCATTGATTTGTCATGTAAGACAGTGCTGCAGTTACCAAAGGAATGTTATGTGATGGCATATGTGAGGAAAAGTGGTCCAGCTGATCATATGGAAAGTGAGGTGTCCACAAGACACATTGATATATGGTCCACAATATGACCATAATTGTGTCCCCAGACAACAAAAGAATAGAACACACATCTCATGTCATATGTTACTCTAAATCTTTAGTATAAAAGCAGCAATCATGTACTATGGTTAAAGCTGTTTGAGTACAATGTCTGAAGAGGCTGATACAATCCTGAATTGGATTCAAGTATGTGGATGAACTCCTTCAAAATACAAACCTTTACAAGCTCCATGACGAGATACAACTCAGTTGGCATGTCCATCTCCTCAATCAGAAGAACAATATTGGGATGTTTGACTCTTCTTAAAATAGATACCTCATTCTGGATCATGTGCTCCTGCCACAAAACGAAAATCTTAAATGAATACAGATGAGTGAGAAAACTATTCCTCCCTCTCCACCTCCAGATTGTACCATGGCAAGTTCAGAGGCACTTGAGACTTTCAAAAAAGTTCCAAAGAATTGAGGAAAAATCACAAACATTGTTTTAGATCAGTGTTTCTCAAAGTGGCCCATGGACCTGCTTTGAGAAAATTGCTAACAGGCCTTTCCAGTCTTTTTTTTTTTTTTTTTTTTTTTAGGGGAAGAGGGGGGGGGGAGGAAAAGGAAATTTTATATACAAAGGGAGAACTAGAAGCAATCTAGTTCTATGGAGAGAGGAGCGCGGTTACAGGCGTCTGCAGCCTGAGGCGGTGAAGAGGAACTGGCGGGGGGCCGGACCGCGTGACAGAAAGAGCACGAAAGCTGCGAGCCTGCGGCACATGCGTGGTTCGGCTAGACACTGCTAATGACAAGTCTCCATCTGCGGCGCCGGGGCAAGCCCAGCACCCATAGTGGAGCACCCGCGGGGATATCCCCGAAGAAGAACCTGGGTCATACAAACTGCAGTCAAAGGGAGCCACCCTAAGTAAACAAATTGGAGCAGGCAAGTAGCAGCTCTCTCAGAGTGGTCCACAAACCACTTTAAGAAACACTGTTTTAGGCAATGTAGAAAGTGTCTGGCAAAAGCATCACTGTGAAGACTGAATCAAAGTCAGAAAAGAGAACACAGAAACGTGAAATGTGGAAAGAGAAAATTCCGTTACTGAAGCTTCTTGAAAAAATTTCTAATGCAAAATATATTTTGAGCAGTTAAAAATATGGTTCTATTTTCCCAAAAAACATTAGGTAAAGAATTATAAAACCAAGCAGCAATTCAGTTAGTATAATAGTTGCTGTATACAATTATTGCTACTATTTTGCTATTTTTATAGCATTTAGCACCCTGGGAGCTAAATGCTTTAATGACAGTAGTTAACACACACACACACAGGTAAGCCAAATGCTGAGCCAAGTAAATGCATCTTGCATTGTACTCTGCATGCTGCTAGACTTGTGGTCTCATGGTCTGGCATGGGCAGAAATTTCCAAAGGCAATTGCCCTCAATTGCAAAAATTCTGCCATTAGCCAGAGTTTAAACACCAAGAACTTTCCAACCTGATCTTAGATGTCAAAACAGGATGTCAATCTCACAGAAAAAATGTTTTGTTGGTAACATTCATAATCCTTATTTGCTCTCATACTTACTTTTCCTCTACATTTGCTTTTTTTAATGATTTTCAGAGCATATTCTCTACCAGTTGACCTGAGAAAAGATGAAAGAAAAATTATACTTTTAATTGCAATGAATGTTTCCCAATGGATTTTGTATTTGTTCTTCAAACACATAACTGCGGAGATGAAAAGGAATATCATCTGAATATTCTGAAAGGATGTGGAAAGCACATGGTAGACCTACCATGTTTAAGGACAGTGATTTTAACAGGATAAAATCTGGGACAACAATGGCTCTGGGGATACAATTTCTTTGTACTGATGATAGCAATAGAGCAAGATAATTTTTATAAAAAAAAGCACATCTGATAGGATTTTAGGACTCAACTTCTTAGGAGCAGGAACAGTGCCTTGTTTTTTTTAAAATGTTTGGATAGCATTAGGAATAAAACAAAATCTTCTACCACTTATAATATGGATACTTATTTCAAATGGGTGATATGGAATCATCAGCTTTATTAGACAAACGAAAGACACTAACATCCTTTTCTTATGTCTTTTACAACTCTGATGCAGAGGTCCTCTGAAAAGACAGAACATGGAATTCCATTCACACAGTTCCAATAACACTTGAATGAAATGGAGAATGAGCAATTCGGTGAACTCTTATAGAAGTACCTTTATTTTATAATAATATCCAAATTGGGCAGTTACTTTAGAATACTAGTGGTTAACAAAAGAAAAAAATCTGCACCAGATATGCACATGGCAATTGTTCTGTTCTTCATGAAATGATATAAAGTTAAATTGAGATGCCATGTGTAATGCCAATTAAGGATCCACAGTCTAGAAATTGGTAGGTATTAATGAGTCATGCACCAAAAATATTATTTTAGGGAAATGATTGGACACTTTAATCACCATATTGAAGTATGCAGGTAAATATCTGTAACAGCATAATATCAGAACATTAATTTTAGGATTCATAAAGGCCACATCTGGAAGGGATCATTGTTATCATTGTCTGACCTCCTATAGAACACAAGTCAAAGAATTTCTCCAAAATATTTCATTTTTATGCACCCCAGGACTGGATTAGTTCTTTTGGCCAAAACATCTCAGTGAGATTTTGTGTTCAGCTGATTATAAACCTTGGACTCCAGAGTTCGTAATGGGAATGTGTAGAAAAAAGAAAAATGTGACAAATACTATATCATGTTCAGATTCCAAAGTCAGCAGGGCTCCAAAGAAAGATACAAATTAGGATACAAATTAAGAGAGTTTCCAAAGCAGATATGCTGAATGATCATCTCTTCAAAACTACAGCATTGCTGTTCAAAGCTTAATTTAAAAAAAACAAAGAAGCACCCTGACATCTATGGTTTCCCCACTAGAGGGCTTCATGCTACAGTTCTGAGAAATGGGCCATTCTTCATCCTGAGGTGGCCTTCATGTGGATGCACTTATTGAGAAGACACATGCAAAGGTGAGACGGGACAGACAGTTACAGCATCATTGTTAGTTTTTTAGGTGGGTGGGTGGGCGGGCATCAGAAATTTACGTGCTTGGGACTAAAATTCAAGCAAAACGTATTCCTCTTCAAAGCTATTGAACCAGACTTAGTTGTCCCAGGAAAGCTTCTTTTCTTTCACAAAAAACAATTTTAATGGCTTTTGTTTTCTGCATAAGACTACACTCTCGAAAACACTAGGAATATTTAATAGCATGGAAATTCAGATTTATCCAAAATATCAAATTTACGTGCTTGGGACTAAAATTCAAGCAAAACGTATTCCTCTTCAAAGCTATTGAACCAGACTTAGTTGTCCCAGGAAAGCTTCTTTTCTTTCACAAAAAACAATTTTAATGGCTTTTGTTTTCTGCATAAGACTACACTCTCGAAAACACTAGGAATATTTAATAGCATGGAAATTCAGATTTATCCAAAATATCATATGTTAGAAATTAACTTGTCTGAAAACATACTGCCAGACAAACTGCATACATGATACAGCAAATATGTAATAAGCAGACAACAACTCTGACTGTTCTTTGATTTGGGAATTATACATTTGTAAAAAGAAAATAAAAGCCAGGATATACTACCAACAGGTCATATTTATAGAACTGTCACTTCTGTTAAAGTTTCCTACACCAAATAAGGGCCAAAGGCTGCATTTCTTCTTCTCACTAAGCTTTTACAAAATCCAATGGGAGTTTGGGTATCAAAGGAACCCAGGATCAGGGTCATGATTTTTTGTAATGAATACACACACACACTCATACACTCCCCACTGGTGCACCCACACCATGTATGTGGAGGAGATATGCATGTGATAAGTTACACACAAAATAAATACTGTTCAAAATGTCATAATGAAGGCCCAGGAAGAGTAAGATTCCATTTTAGCCAGGTGACAGGCTTTTTCTAATAGATCAAAAAGTCATAATTTTGAGGTCCAATGCAGTGCCCGACACAGGAATTTTATGCCAGTGGAAAGAGGAAATTTCCTTAACTCCTTAATGTCCAGCATTCACTCCTGGTCATCCAAGGTTGAGATATTAGACTAAGTTATCATAGAATCATAGAATACTAGGACTGAAAGGGACCTTGAGAGGTCATTGAGTCCAGTCCCCTGCCCCCATGGCAGGACCAAATACTGTCTAGACCATCCCTGATAGACATTTATCTAACCTACTCTTAAATAACCCCGGAGATGGGGATTCCACAACCTCCCTGAGCAATTTATTCCAGTATTTGACTACCCTGACAGTTAGGAACTTTTTCCTAATGTCCAACCTAAACCTCCCTTGCTGCAGTTTAAGCCCAGTTTAAGTTATGCTTTTCTATGTCTAGAAATGCTATTTTAGGTCTTTTTTGGATGCATTTTACATTTATTAGTTTAATGTTTCTGTTTCTCTGAACTCATGCTCATGGCAACCAAGTCAGTTTTACAGGAGGAAGGATACACAGAACAGTTCTATTACATTGTGGTTTGACACTCAAAAATATTCCTCACTTGCCTGCACATGTTGCTTGTGTTAAAGTATACATTCTTTTGGGATAATCTGCATAACCAGACTACAAAATCCTGTATTCCCTCAATAGTCACACTACAGGGCATTCTATATAGACTATGGGTTCCAAACTGGGGGGATGCTCCCAGGGGAGGGGGAAGTGAAGAAATTCCGGGGAGGGGGGCATGAGGCAACCCAGCCGCCCCCCCCCGCTATTTTTGTTTTTCGGCCCCGGTCAGTTCTTTTTTGTTGTTGTTGTTGAACAAGTTTTGCTGCTATTGCGGGGAGAGGGGACATGAGGGTTTCGCAAAAATCAAAAAGGGGGAGTGATGCCGAAAAGTTTGGAAACCACTGATATAGACAGTATCTCATATCTTTAAAGATAAATTGGAAGTGGAAGCACTATTTCTGGGTGTAGTGAGACCTTACAGTTAGTTCGGTCAGTGTACGCCTACACTGTAGCGCTATTTCAGGATACTTCCGCTATTCCAAAATAACTGACTCTTGACAGCGTGCCTGTTATTTTGAAATATCTTTCAAAGTAATGGACGCGCTATTCTGAGGTCCCTGTAAATCTCGTTCCACGAGGATTAATGGACTTTTCAGAATAGCAGTTTATTTCAAATTTGGCACTGTATAGACAGTGGCAAATTATGAAATAAGCTATTTCAAAATACACTCAAAATAACCTACACAATTAGTGTAGCTCACATTGTGTGATTTATTTTGAGCTAAGGATGCAGACACATGTTCAGTCTTGTACCATTTTCCTCTCAACTTCAGTAACACGTGAAAAGCCTAACATTGCTTGGGTAAACGTGTAACTGGAGGCAGGGAAGTCTCTCTGAATTTCACAGTATTATTTTGATGCATAATCCTCCAGCTTGCCTAAGATAGTATTTCTTTCATTTTAGACTTGCCCTTTTCTCCAGTCTCACTATCAGACTTTTTTCTCCTCCCCTTTTCTTTCACCTTATACTATTTTCTTGTATATAGCTTCATAAGCACCCTTTTCAACTTGGCTTTTTTCCCTTCCCCTGCGGGTTTACATTTTTCAGCTCAGGGTTCCTATGAATGGCCACTTTTAACTCTGGAGTTTAATCTAAAAGATCTTTTGTGTCATCATCGTAACCTCTCTCAAAGGCAGCTATAAAGGTGCCACAATAGACTTGGCCATGTACCATTTGATCCCTGAGCCAGTAAAAGGACGCTCAGTTCTTCCAGACTTCCACAACAACTGTAAGTTTGGTATACCAGAGACAATTCAATCTGAATGCAAGACTGGAATCAGTTTCTTTCTTGGGAGACTAGTTGGCATCCACACTATTCTTGATCTAGTCTTTGTGGCCGGCTTCAACGTTTCATGCTGAAATATTTAGATTTGCTTCTGAAACCATCCCAGAGTTTTCTGTAAACTGCTCCTCATTAAGATGTAGTGGCAGTGGATGTGAACTCCCATGAGCAGATATAGACAGGTCTGTTTACCGCATACATCTCTTTCTCTGGCTCTTTTTTGGCCATTCTCTGCACTGCCATCATCAAAAAACAGAAGCTTCATAGTAATCGCTATTGTGGACATCACCTCCACCCTCTGTTTCTTTTATACCACACTCTCTGGTTTTAGGAATGCCACCATTAGTCACTGGAACTTTACAGAAGACATCTCTCCCCACTTTTCAGTGGAGATGTGGTAGCACAGCCTGCTTCAAGGTTTAGAAGTGCAGACGTCAAACTTTCTCCTCTTGTACATATGTTTCAGTCAGTCTCTCATCCTTTATTCCTTTCCCCTTGTCCGTTGGGATATGATTGACACCACGTTGTAGGACAAAGCAGGAAGAGCACAGAGGCCCATGTTTTATTAAGAATAATCTGGAAGTGATGCTGACAGTCAGCACTAGTTCATGGCAGTAAGATCTAAAATTAGTTTCAGGGCCTTACAGTGCCATGTGCAACAAAGTAAACATGCATATGTAATTTTTCCTCTATTTGCACAGAATGCCCGCAGAAGAAAACATGAACATCACATATGCTGGAGCTTTGAATCCTGTTCATGTCTGTTCTAACCAGTCGAAAAGGAAAGATGGAAGAGTAAATTGCAAGAAAACAATGTCCAATATTTTATTTTAGAACACTGAGAGACCTGGTCAACTTGTGCTGAGCACAGGAGAGGAAAAATTATATAACCTACCTCTTCCCCAAAGCATTAAAGTTACAGATTGTCTCTTGGAACTGCTGTTTTTTCACAACACAGATTATTAGACTAGTTTTTCCACTGCTTACATCTGGCACTGAGATATTACCTTATTCCACAGGCCCCAGAGTCTGCAAAAAAATCTGATGCTGGAAGAGCATTACATTAATGATTACTTTTACAGTAATAAGCAAATAATCTCTCACCTTTCTATACACTCCTTTACAATTGCAAAATTTCCATCTCCTATAGTCCTTCCAACTTTATATCTTTCTGCTATTGATGCTGGAACCTGGAAGCCTTCCTCCAACACTTCTGAAAAAATCATTAGTGCATTTTTATTGGTAGAAAAGGAAATGCAGATGTTGCACATAACATGTGCTTTTGGTCCAATGGAAACCATTCAGAATCAATATCTCATTTAGTATATAGCAAAACCATGTTGCTGACATTGTATATACTCAATAGGTTTTGCACAGATCAAATGATGAAAAATAAAACCTAGACTCAGACATGCAAGGTTTATACAACTTGCAGTATATTCACAGTGTAAAAGTGAAATTGTATTTTTTAAATATGAAAGGGCCATTGTGGTCTGCACAAGTGTACCTGAGCCCTTTGATAAGGGTTGGAATTGCTTGACATAGTATGATTCAATATATGTACCAAAAAATCTAACACTCAAGCAGTTATTTTATTACATCCTGTAAAATGAGACATCCATAAAATTCCTCATGTGTTAAGTGCTATTTTTCCCTCAATATTAAATATTTAGTTTTTAAACAAATGTTCTCAATTATATCACCTTCATATGCAACCTGGGCACCAGATGTTTAGGTAAAATTGCGTTACACACTGCCTACACACAGAAAAAGTTTGTTTCTGTTACTTTAGTGCCTATTAAGGCCCCATTTTTTCTTTAAATACAATTTGAAATAGTAGTTTACCAATGCTTACTAATGCTTCCAAAAGCTGTGACTATGGATGTCAATCTACACCAACTAGCTCTGGACCACATAAATATAGTGGGTATATATTAATATCTAAAAAAGACTTTTAAAACAGTGACTCTTAAATTTGCATTCTTTAAGGCCCTACATTTTAGTTGCATTTCAAAGAACAAAATTCAAAGTGTGTAGGATTTTTCCAGTTTGGGGTTATGTTTGAAATGTGACTTATGTGCAACTGGTACACAGAAAATGGTATAATCATATGCATGTATGCTGGAATGATAAGCATCAGAGTACAAGCTACCCTCAGCCTCTATATCATAATCCACAGGTGGGCAAAATCAGGCCAGGGAGCCAAATCTGGCCTGCCAATCTTTTCTCTCCAGCCCGCCCAGCTGACAATCAGAGTCAGCAGCATGTGTTCAGCTGCCCCTCCCCACACCTTGCTCCATCCTGTAACCAAGTTGCTCCCAGGATTCTCCTGTTAGCTGTGCAGAGTGGTGGTGGGGAGGGGAGAGAGGAAAAGATGGAATAGCAAGCTGAAGTTAGGGTGTCCCTCTGCCCCTGTACTCCATATCTTCAGAGAAGGTGAGAGAGGGTGGGGACACACAGTGAAGCTGCTCCATTCTGAAGTGTGGATGGTAAGTGACTCAGGGGAATGCAGAACTGTGGAGGGTGGAGACAATAAAAAACTAGACAGATTTCCTTTAAAAAGACAGCGTGGTTTCTCTCAGAAACGTACCCAGCAGCAGTCAGTGCACTATCACACACAGCCAGTCTGTGTCACACTGTATCTGTGCCACACACAATCTCATACACACTCAATCTGTGTCACAAAGTCTCTCTCTTACACCTAAGGTCTCTCTCTCTCTCCCCCTTTCTCTCTCAGCTCCACCCTGTAGCTCAAGACCCTGCCCTTTGGAGAGGACCAGAGTTGGCCTACAACCAGGTATCAAAATTCATGAAGTACCCCCTGAGAAAATTATTGCCCACCCCGTCTTCATCGTTGGCATGCAGTGAAGGTGTTCACCTGACCAGGGTTGTCATTTTTCTGCTAATGCCCAATGCAATTCCTCTTGCTTCTTAAAACAATAGTTACATGTGCATGGAACACTCTGTATATGGAGCTACTGAGACTGATTAATTTCAGGTGGACTGTGGTCATTTTGTTAAAGATCCTGATTATTTCTTTTTATGCTTTTTAATCACAGAAAGGCTGGAGCCGGGTATTTGCGATACTTTCAAAAATAATTTTATAGATTAAAGGGATAGTCAGTATGAGATATTGTTTTGCATACAACTGCCCTTTCCTTGCCAATTTTATTTTATAATCAAATGTTAAATTAATTTACATCATATCAAAAACCTCATCCTATTCCACATTTAACTCATGTCAGCATCCAGCACACGGAGGTGTATCTGAACTGTTGTGTCTATGCTGGATTCTAAACACCTTGAAACATGGAACAGGCCTCCGTCTGTGAAATGTTAAGCATATTACTGATATATATGAAATGAAAGGCAGGAAATATGTCACATCTCCAACAAGAATGATGACCTTGCAGAATGTTCTTGTATTGTGGGAATTCAGTGTACATGAACAACTGCCAATTATAGGTTCCTACCACCCCCTCTTCAGCAGGTAGGTGAGTGAACTTCGCTAGTTCTTAAGAGTTTGGAACTTCTGTCAGAGTTAAATTCCTCTCATCCTATAACTACCTCATTAAAAAAAAACCTTAAAATAAGAATTATTCTCAAAGTTATTCTATTTAAGAGTAATATTTGACCAGTTGGCCCTGCATTTATTATCATTCCTTGTAATACTTCATTTTAATAAGCCCCCTTGGTTCCTTTTATTTTTCAGCTTTTAGAGGGTATTCCTGTAATTTTCAGAATGCATTACATCACAATAAAACAATGAAAACAATGCAAAGTACTCATGGGGGAGTGCTTGTAAGTAAAATGAGTATGTCAAATAACAATCCATAATAATAAACCACCATCCTCTTTACATCACCATCTAAATATTTTATAAACCCATTTTAAAAAACAGATGGGCCATTAAAGTGGCTGTTGAACCTTCTCTACAATTCAGCCACTTTAATCCCTGATGTTTCTGTGACATTTTGGGTAAAATCCTCAACCTACTGAAGTCAATGGCACTGTTTTCAACAGGGCCAGTATTTTGTAGTTTCAATGAATATCCAGTTTGACTTTCTTCACACTTTGTTTCTCCACACAAAGGGACTGCAAATAATTCACAAGAATTCTAAAATCTGAGCAGACAAAACTGAGCTAATCTAAACCATTTCTGTTTGAACCCGATTAATGCCAATGAGAAAATTGTTCAACTAGATTTACTATTGTTGAGTTACTGGTGGCCTTTCAAAATCTTCCAGACTCTACTGCTTCTCAGAGCTGTTCTGGAATCTGTGGAATCAGTACATAGCAGGCAGTGGACCTGAAATGCTTGAATAATGCTATTCAGAATGCAGGACAAACTTTACGCAAGCACAGAATCCATGATTTAACCAGTCTGGTAAACCTAGTAACCCACTAATGGTTAAGTCAATCAACTCTGCAACTCCTCACTCTCCAGCATGAATAGCAACTAGTTTCCTGCATAGCTGCTGAGCTATTGTTGTTTTGAAACTTCCACAAACCTTCTCCCATCAAAACAGTCTCTTTTACCTTCTCCAGGTCCATCATTTTCATCCATGGAGCTGCAAACTTTGGTGGATGCTAATGAGGTAGAGGAGCCACTGTGTTGGGAGCTCTGGAAATGGAGAGAGACAAATGAAGACAGAAATGATTGTTAAAGTGCACTTGTATCTCTGTACATCTTTACTGTCCCAGAGGGGAGTTCAAAATTTTGCATGGAGATCATCCATTCACCCCGGAAAAAGAGCCTATAGGATGTTTATGAAAATTTAGATTTTTTTGCTCATCTAATTCTCTTTATGCCCCTTCTTACTGCTGACTTCCCAATTTACTTCGTGCTATTCAACTTTTACCCCTTTCCACTGAAAAACCAATTTAGAAAAGGTTCCACATCCAGTATACATTTTTATGGATGAACTGAGAGAAGTCACCAAACGGGGGGTACCCTCTTGGAAGGAAGTTTTACCAACACCAAAAGAGAAACCTCTTATTCTATGCTGCATCTCTCTTACTAATAATTAAATAATGTCCCAGGCAGAGAAATCCCATCTGCAAGTCTAGAGCTTAGAATGTGCCTTCAGGGTTCTTCCATCCTGAAGTTTCCTTCTTGCTGCAAACTCAAAAAATCTACATGTATAACAACGCTTTAAACTTAAAGCAGTTTTAATCAAATTATGAAAACCCTGTGGTAATACTATCTTGTGTTTATCAAGCACTTTTCATGCAGAAAGATCCCAAAGTGATGCACTGTTTTTAATTTGCCTCCAAATTACCTATTATAATGAGTGAGATTATACATCATATAATTTACATTATAATCTACTGGAGTAGGGCCTGGATCATATCAATCTTGGGAGCTCCGGAAATGCAGAACTGTTAACAGTCAATGAATACATTATGCAAATTTAACCAGAAAAACAAACTATTTAGAGGAATCATTTAATCCACCAATGAAGTAAGTAGAACTTTAGGGAAGAACATAACTGTTTGGGACAGGATATGAAGAACCATATGTCTCCAATTGAAACTTCAGTGCGGTACTGAACTAGACAGGATGCAGCTATCAGAGTTATAATCTGTACTGAGTTTATTTGTATTTACATACTGAATTTAATTTCTTTCACACTAAATTGAGATCAGCAGATACAGCAACTCATTTGGCCTATTTTTCTTAAAATAATTCTTGTGATTTGCATATCCCATGCCTAATAGTTTGTCTTCTTTTCCTTTTAGTCATCACAAACTCATTTTCATCCATGTGATCACTTTCTTTCTGTTTTGAACAGGATTAAAACTTCACTCATCATTTTAGATTACATTTACTTTATTGCCCCTTAATGACAAAGTGTGCACAGACTAACCTCATACTGTTCACTGAGGCAATACTCCCGTTGCTACAGGTTTAGGACAAGCGTTAACTATCTCTGTTTAACCTCTGCTACATCTTACAGTGAAAACTTACCTCAAACATTTGCAAATGACAGTGTAGATGGATAAGAAGTAACAAGCATACAGCTTAACTCCATGAATTCTCAAGGTAGGAGAAGATATTCCATGTGTATAGCACAGAATGTTGATATCAAGTAAAATTTTTGTTTTACATGACTACTGGAAGAACGTATAGAAAATATCTTTCACTATTTTTCTTGTGCTTCTCTTAGCTCTCCTATGACAGCACTTCCAAATTATTGCTTCTGCCTTTCCATTGTATTTTTCTTAAGGGTCCTATCATTTAAATATGTTCAGTACATGATGTATATGCCATCATGAAATGATCTTTAAAAATCCTGAAGTGTTATAACCCAAATTATTCTAGCATTAGTATTTTGACAAATTACCACATGGTTACTGCATACAGACTTTGCATTTTAAATGTGGGATGAATCTTATAGCAGATGGTACCTCAAACACTACTGACTATACACCACGGCATTTTCTTTAGCATTGGATTATCTCTTCAGACTACTGACCCTACAGCTCTCAGTTCTAGAGTGTAAAGGGGAGAGAGAGTAAAGTGTAGACATTACTTTGTGGACAGATTTTCTCAACCCGTATGCCTAACTTTAGTCTCATTCATACAAGGGCACCTGATTTTTCAGAGGTGCTGAGCTCCCACTGGGATTTGTAAGTGCTCATTTCTAAAAATCAGACCAAATCATTTACATATATTCCTTAACTTTAATCACATATACTCCCGATTGATGGATTTGAGATTAGGGATGTGATTGTTTAGCTAAATAGGGGGTCATTTTAGGGTGCCTCAATATGGATTTAAGAACCTAACTATAGGAAGAAATGAGAATTTTGGTTTCTCTTAATTTTAGCAGAAAACAGCTTTAATGAGAGACTATTTTAAGGCCTCCATCTCTCTTATAGACATCATATTTAGATCAACACATGTAAGCCAGAAAACTCAGTACTACTTACGCATAACTGACAGAAGTGAGAGTTGTGTGCATGAAACAAGTCGGTATAGACTAAGTTTAAAAAGAAGGGAGTATTAATGAATGATTTCTAACATTACCCGGCCCCAGAAATCATGATGGAAACATGTCCTTTACGTTACAATTAAGGAAGCCCTCCAAGTTTATTAAGCAGATTTTTATAAACAACATTAATAAAGTCCAGGAGTTGCACATGTCTATGTTTGCAGTCATCACACACACAGTCTCATCTGATAATGTTACAAAAGGTTAGAAGGCAGAAGTAACACAAGCAGCTTGACTTTTATTGTGTATTTCTGTTCTCTGGAATCAGATAAAGTGATTTATTTATTTGATTTGTAAGCTAGGAAACTCCAAGTTAATTTAGACTTGAATTCGCTCATTTTTCTAGCCTAACAGAAAGCCCTTTGGGTCCCATTCCCTTGAGGGGCTTAGTGTTTCTTCCAGTTGGTTTGCTAATTCTGATGCAGTTGTTTGTTCAACATACAGTAACCCTCACAGCTGTAAGTCCCATTAGGGTTATTACAGGGGGAGGAGGGAAACCTGTGTAAGAGCAAAGTATTTTCAAACAGACTCTAATGCAATTAGCTCTTAATTTTAAGAGATCTTGAGGAACATGAAATGTCATTAACTTTAAACTGTTTTAACAGGGACCAGTTGCACAGGTTCCTGGCACCTGGCTGCTTTTATGACATACCTACATAAAAGTAATGGCATGAAAAGATCAGGTCTTTGGTGTAGGTATTTCAGATCCTATTCAGGTTCACATAACAGATGGCCAACACACCACACTTCTTATTAATGTGAATAGGAAGATTAGCACTATCAAGTTTCAAACATGCCCTACTGAGAGATTGATTCTGCAACTGTTTTGTAAATATTTAAAGGTGTACCTAAACTGCCATTGTTCAAATTCAAGCACAAGAATGTGGCAAAATATTACATAAATCTGAGGATTCCCCTCTCCGTGCATACACCTTCTTCCAAAACTCATCTTCTTGCCATCAACACCACCCCCAACACAACAGAGGGAATTATTTTGGTGGACTGTTTTTTCCATTTATGAAAAAAACCCATAGCAAGTATATCTAGAAAGCAGGTTAATGCATATCAAATTCCCAAATCTTGAAAATTGAACATTGGATTACATTTTCCAAACTTATCAGAATCTTTATTGGCACATATGGAAACTACAAAGTCTTTTGACAATAGATTTCTTTGTATTTTACTAATGTGAAGGAAGCATCTGGATGAAATGTCAGTAACAGAAATCCACACAGGTGTGAAGCTGAGTTTTGAACACATAGGAAGTTGTGTTCTTTTAAAAGGAAGTTAATGAAACAAAGTAAAATGAGTACATAACGTGTAGGTCAGGCACAATGATGAAGCACATGGTAAGGGAACTCTTTAAATTATTATAGCATATTAATGACTATCCCCCAAAATTATCCAGGATTTCACAAATATAAGCAGAAAGGCTAAGCATTTCAGTATTGAGTGTTTGACCACAACAGGAAATATATGTAAGTGCAACAGAGATTACTAGAAAATAAAGAGGACAGTAAGATAAATGTGCCCATCTCCTTGTCTATACAATATTATGACCCTGGCGTGTTTGGCCCAGTTATACATTTCTTGGGTTATTATATTATCTTACTCCTCCACCATTTTGCTTGGGAGCCCGTTCCCTAGTCTAATGGTCATCATGTTTAGTGAAAATAGAAGAGCAACAGAAGAGTGTAAAGAGGAGATTAAGAGCCTGATTCTGCTCACCTAATTCCACTGATGTTATACTGCCAGAAAACCAGTAAGAAAAAAAAAAAAAAAAAAAAGTACACTGGAAATATTTCAACAGCAGGAAATATTTTCAAAAAGCTATGTAGAGTGCAAAAATTCAGTGATGAAAAGTAAATAAATAATACTGTTTGGTAAAATTTCTGAAGAAGAATCTCAGCTTTATTTATTAAAGCCTAAATAGAAACCAAGGATTAGACAAAGTTTATTGTGCTCCCTCTATCCAGTGAAAAATATTCTTTATTTTCTTTTGTTCAGTCAGTAACATTTTTGGCACATACACGAGAAGAAAAAAAGCTCAAGGAAATAGTACAGGCTAGTAAAAACTACTTAATGGAGAAACGTCAAATCTATAATATTTGTGCTGAAAGACAATAGATTTCAATGCGCAGAAAGAGAAATGATGCAACTGATTCCTTTTCAAGCTGGGACATACCACCAAAGTGACCTTAGATCTACATTTATTAATAAGCTGCCTTCATCAGAAAAGAAGAGATGAAGAAATGAGTGCAAGCATGATTCTTGTCTATAGTCTGACATCCTGCACAGTGCCTTGACCCACATGATTTAAATGAGATCCCGCTTGAGGAGCTAAACATTTTTCATGTATGCACTTGAGGCTATACAATCAGATCAGTTCAAACACAAACAATAATCTATATGTTTCATTTAGAAAACCTCTGTGTTCTTTTCTTGAGAGTTTAAAGGGAGTGAGGACAAGATGGGAAAGTCTGCAGGAATATCATGCTGGTGAAAAGAACTAAAAATGGCAAACCAAAGTATTTTATTTTGTTCTACATAGGTTCTTGTTTTGCACTCATCACCATGTACACTGAATGCCTAAGTATTCTGCTAGCCTACAGAAAAAGTACGATGC